ATGTTCAGAGCATGGTCCCAATCCTCAGGCCTGTCTCACTTCTCTGTGTTTGCCTCAAAGCCACAGGGCCATCCCGGGACAGCCAAGACAAATCCCTGCTTTCTTTGTTCCCTGGCTCAGGCCTGCCAAGAAAGTTTGTTCTAGGCTTTTAAACAACTATCTTCCCTTCCTCAGATCCACTTCTTTTTCTCCTTGCTGTCCCTCAATCATGCAAGCCAGGGAGTGACCAGAGAAAGCTTTGGGTCTTTCATATACTCATGAACATACAGTAGCTGTGGTTATCTGTGAAGATCTGCACAAGATCAGCCCTTTAGCTGTCTACCAGTGGAAGGGTCCCACTAACCACTACCCCTTCCTGAGTTGACACTGACAGTTAACGGTTGCCAGGGGAGGGGGAGTCATATACCTCAGTGGTGCCACCACCAGTAAGTTGCCTGTGTTCCAATAAATAACTCCCATAAATAACTCCCAACCCAGGCTCATATAATATGAGCAGCCCAAATTAAACTCAGTGGGTCATAAACAAAACCAAAAACAAAAGACATAAAGGTTGAAGGAGAGAAGGGCTCAGCAGCAATCGGGGAGGGGGATGAGAGAGGGGTGAATATGATCACAAAGCATTGTATATGTGCATGAAATTGCTAATAAGTAAATGAATTAATTAGTTAATTTTAAAAGATCATGCATGCAAATTACAGTCACTAAAGAGCTTTGGAATTATTCACCTAGGTGTGCTATAATTAATGTCATAACTAAATACATAAATCCAGGTATTCAACTGGCCAAATTGCCACAGCACCACTGCAATCATTCTCATGAATATGGCCCTTCGGGGATCCTTCTTTTCCCTACTGTTTCCACCATAGTAATGCTGTCTCCTTGAGGCCTATACTGGTTTACAGCAAATAGGTTTGCCCACATTTAGCAGTTTGCAAATTATTTGAAATGTATTGCCAAACATACATAACTAGTTTTATTGAAAATTAAATTATCTGAAAATTGAGACTGCTTTATACCAGTGCTCCAGTGACCACCCTGCTTGAATCATCTATAGTACCACCCACAATGGGAGAATTTTAGAAATCAATTTTGGTTATTGAATGCATTATATTTCATCTAAGACTAATTCCTTGCAATAGCTTTATGGGGTAAGTTTTGTTATGGCAGGGGAAACAGAGTCATAGATGTTAAGTATAGTCAGTCCACCACTGCTCTTGATGCAATTTCCCAAATGCTGGAATGACAGGTTTCTGCTACTGCACCCTGCTTACATAGACTTTAAAGTTAACCCAAGACTAAATATAATACCAGAGTACACCCATAACTTATATAGTCATCTATGTCTTAAATGACTTGGTTTCCTCCCTAACAAATGACCAAGTTTGAGAATTCAAAGCAGGTGTACAGAAAGGCTCTAAGTATGTGACACTTACAGTGGGTACTCTTTCTCTTGGTTTTGTTGTTGTTGTTAATGATGATGATTTTGTTTGTTTCATTGTTTTAAAATTTTATTTCTATTTATTTTTAATTTTATGTGTATGAGTGTTTTGACTCCCCATGCAGGACAGAAGAGGGCACTGGATCCCTAGAACTGGAGTTACAGATGGTTGTTAGCTGCCATTTGGGTGCTGGGAACCAAACTCAGGTCCTCTGCAAGAACAGCCAGTGCTCTTCACTACTGAGCTGTCTCCTGGGCCCTGGTTGGTTGTTCTTTTGAGATAGGATCTCACTATATAGCCCTGATTGACCTGGAACTCATTATGTAGACTGGGTCTCCCTTGAGCTTGTGGTAATCCTCCTGCCTCAGCCTCCTGTGTGCTGGCCGCCACATTCAGCTCTTCCTTCTAGTGTTGACCCAATCATTGGGTCTGGATGATCTGGTCAGTCTGTTATCAATATGAATCTTAAGGGAAAACAGAAGTTAGAAGGCACTATGAAAAGACACTTTCCAGCTGGTGTTTTCCAGGCTCAGCCACCTCAACAGCACCAAACACATGCATCCTCAGAAACTTGACTTTCAGCGAGAAAAAGGTGCTGTGAGCAAAGCAAACACATGCTCTCCTTCCTCTATCCATTTATCAAATATTTTAAGAGATTTTGAATGGTAAGAAAGGGCTTTATTCCACTCAAGCTAATTTATGTTAATGTTTCTAGTTCAAAATCTGTATAGTACAATGGACCTGTTCAAAGCACACCCATGAGTGTCAAAAAAAGACGATTTCCCAGTTCTAAAATGAAGCGCATGTCCACAGCTCTAGTGAGCAATCCATACCCTCTGTCTGTCAGGGCAGGCCTGTGAATCTACAGGGCATTCACTCTCTGTTTGGGCCACCACATGAGAACATTTCAGGAGAGCTGCCAGGGAGTGAATTTGTAACTGTGATATTGTCAACTTGACAGGATCTAGAGTCACCTAGGAAACAAGCCTCTGAGCACATCTGTGAGGGAGTTTCTGGATTAGGTTATCTGAGGTGGGAAGACCAATGCTAAATGTGGGCAGCCCCATTGTAACGGGCTGGGGCCCCACGCTGAATAAAAGGGGAAAGTGGAGCTAAGTGCCAGCATTCACCTTTCTCTGTTTCCTCACCTTGCATGCAATATGATCAGTTGCCTCAAGCTCCCGTCACCAGGATGTCCCTACCATGAAGGACTGGATCCTCAAACGGTGAGCCAAAATAAGCTCTCCCTTCCTTAAGCTGCTTTTGTCAGAGCAACAAGAAAAGTAACTAATACAATGACTGGTGGGGAAACTGTGTTTAAGGCTTGAATTCAAGAAGAATGTTTTCTTTTGCCAATGTATCCTGAAGAATACAGGCAGAGAGGCTCTGAGGAGATGGCTCAGCAGGCAAGGTGCTTGCAGTACAGCTGTGAGGACTGGATTCTAGGTCCTCATACCCATGCTAAATACAGGGCAGAGACAGGGGATCCCTAAGCAAGCTGACTAGCTAGACTGGCCTAATCAGTAAGCTCTGGGTTCAAATAGAGTCCCTGCATCAGTATGTAAGATGGAAAGCAATCAAGGAAGACATCCAGTGTCAACTTCTGGTCTCTACATGCATGTTCAAGCACATGTACCCACACATACAAACATGCATACACACATAAATGAACAACATACACATACACACACATAAGAACACAGATAGCCAATCTGTTTACATTGTCCAGCATGGAAAATATGTCTTGCTTGCTTTTACAAACTACACACATTAATTAGCAGTGCTTTCCCTGTGCCCATAGCTGAAAATCACTTGATTTTAGATAAATCCAATCACTCCCTGATGTCACTAAATACTGTATGTCAGAAATGCTTCACTCCGGGCCCTGCCTCCACAGAGGGAGTAGTTAACTTATTTGGGGCAAAGAATCTTCCTTATGCTTTTGAGTGTCTTCAAAGAAGTCCACAGTCTAGTGGTTAGGGAGCTGGGCCTGACACAGAGAGGAAGACAGAAGCACCTCGTTGGTGGTGTAGCAGTAATGGATAGCACTTTCTTCAGAGCCAGAAAAGCTGATTCTAGCTCTACCACCTCCTGTGAACTATGTCACCTGTACAAGGAACTTAGACTCTTTGGGCCTTTCTGTCTCCTCAAACATGTGGCTAATATGAGTCTTCACGTTATTAAATCAACAATGACCAAAGAAGCACACTATCCTATCATATTTGCTCTCAGCACAGATGTGCTGTGACTTATTTAATAGTCACATTAAGAGTTAGATTCTATTGTGATCCTGATTTTCCAAGGGAAGCCCTGATGCATAGTTAATAGCCACAATGGGAGTCGTTGTTACTAATAATCCTGACCTCATTAATGTGGTGGTTTAAAGCATTAACGGCTAACTATGCAAGGAAGTAAAGTCATTTAAAAGCATTATAAAGTAAAATAAATCATTCTATGATTTATTTCTTCCTCCATGCATCTTTCTCCATAGTAAGTGTTCAAGGCATATATTGAAGTGAGCCTTCTGGCCTAAACAGCCCTATAAACACACTATTAGAAACTGAAATTACTTTTAAGTCCTAGGGAGAGGTGTGAAAGTGTTCAGAGGACAGTAGAAGGAATAAACAATTTTTTTTTTTTCCTTTTAGAGACAGGATCTCCCTGTAGCCCCAGGTAGCCTGGAACTCACTATGTAAACCAGGGTGGTCTTGCACTCACCTGCTTCTGCCTCCCAAGTGCTGAGACTAAAGGCGTGCACCACCATGTCCAGCACAAATAGTTTTAAAAATCCCCCCAAATTAAAGGACAAGCATTTGCAGGCTGAAGGAGGTTGTCTCATATGATGAGCAAGGAAAGACCACCCCAGGTCACGTCAGTGAACTGAAGATAACCTGCAAGAAGGCTCCATCCCAAAATCTGAGCCAAGAAAAATAGCTAGCATCCGAGGAGGTGTCAAGAAACATCAGACATCCCACAAGCCATCCAGAGCCAGAGGGCAGCGGGGAAATGCCTTTGAAATGTTGAGGTGAAATTGTTTCAGACCTAAAATACTCTATCCGGGCATGCTGTCAGTCGATCCTGACATCTTATAAAATACTCAAATGCTCAAAAACTATCTCCTATGTTTGTTTTCACAGGAAACTACTGGAAAATGGACTCCCCAAGAAAGAGGAAGTTACTGAAGAAAAAGGAAGTCCTAAGATACAAGAAACAGAAGATGCAGGAGGCAAAGGAAATTCCCAGGAGTTAGTGAAATTTGAACGTTCCAGAATGACAGCTGTGCAGTATCTCTGGGTAGAAGTCCACATTTGAGCAAAAGGACTATGAGTTGTAGGTGCGAAATCTCTAAAGACTGGGAAAAAATGAATGGATTGATTGCCTTTGTTTAGCTTCTGGGAATGTTATTTTTAGTCATTTGACAGATCTTACAACATGAGAGAAAAAAACTAACCAATGGTAGATACAGTGAACTAAACAATAAAAATATTAAAATATAAAGAAGGTAATTATGAATCCTACAAAGAAGAGTTGTACAAAAAGGAGATGATCAAAGTATACTACCTGAATGAACAGGAACAATTCAGAGTCCAGCAATGAAGGCAGCCGAGTGGAGAGCTAACTGCACAAGAAGCAGCAGGCAGGCGTGGATGACGAGAGGCGGGCTGTCACCTCCCATGCTCTCTAGTTGACGTTATATAAAATTCACCAGCCAAGAAATATCATCGGTATCATTTCAAATGTGGAAAGACACCTAACAGTTGGACTTGGCTGCTTCTGAGTAGTCAGTCTGAAAGGTGAAGAGAATTGGGGAGAGGAATATTAGTTTTCCAAAGCAAGAGTTTTAAAATGCATATACAGATCATGTGCTGATTGTACAGTAAACGGTAAAAAATAAATAATTTCCGAAAGACTCTTTTTCAGTAGGTAACACTATCAGAGATAAAGTTTAAGAAATTGCTTCTAGAACCATACTGATGCCATTCTGCTGATAAAGATTATAATTTACTCTTAACCAAAAACAAAAACAGAAAAACCTGAATATAGGTAGAAAATACTAATGCCCCAAACCAATAGAAACTAGCTGGACAAGTAAGGATGAGAGAATTCATGAAGGAGGAAGAAAGAGAGAAAAGTGAAAGAAAACCCAAAGTTAAAACAAACAGAACTTGAGACAGATTTAAGCACAAAAAGTCAGGCATTGTGAAAGTTTGTCTCTTCAGCAGGAAACAGGAAGATGGAGAAGTCTGAGCACTTCCTGGCCATCCTGCACCAAGTAAAGGAAGGGCAGGCAGGGCAGGCAGATAACAGCCAGTTTCTAAAAGTTACTAGTTACTGATTTAGAACTGCCTGCTAGAAAGATTTACTCTTTCTTTTGAACCTTAGAAATCTATTGTTGAGGGGAAAGGAATGTCTCTAAAGAAGCTAAGAGCTCTTCATGAAGTCCAAGATGTGAGGGGAACTTGGTGGACAGCTGTCTTGTTTGGGAGCAGGAAAAGACAGAGGACAATTAAAGAACTGGGCAAAAGGCTACTCAGAAATGCAAAGTTCTTTCATTGTAATTGAAAATGGGTTTGGAGTCTAAATTGATACCTCTTTTTTAGATATACAATATGATCCACCTATATCACTTCTGGGTTTGTAAACAAGAGAATTGCAGTCAATTACTGTAGAGATACCCGCACATCCATATTTATTGTACCACTACTCCCAACAGCCAAGTTATGGTATCAGCATAGGTGCCAAACAAGGGATGAATACATAAAGATGACGCAATGGAGTTTTATTCAGCTATAAAGGAGAACAAAATGGATGTTCTGCAGGAAAATGGATGGACCCGGAAGTCATGATGCTAAGTGAGATAAGCCAGACTCACAAAGACAAATACTACATGTTTTCCCTCATATGTGAAACTGGGGGCGGGGGAGGGTCAGGAGAGTAAAAGGTGAACTACTAGGATTATGGAAGGAAGAGGGGGAGTGGTAGGGGAGGGATTAGGCATGGTAACAGGTAGATAGCATCAAAATGTCTTATCTGCATGTATGGAATGTTACAGTGGCACATTTTGAGTCTAAATTTTGTACACTTAATATACATTAACAAAAATACTCCTTTTTATATTTTAATAACTACTCAGGCTACATACATTTCCAAATGTTCTAAGCTTCTGGGTAAAATGATATTTATACCTCTTGTCCATTTGTCTAAAGCATTGTGAAATTTGAGAGCAAGAGTCTTCTATGGACACTAAAGGTCACAGGTAGACTGTCCTGAAGTGAAGGTGGCCATGTAAATGCCACTCCTGCTGAGGGTAAAGAAGTCTGAGGTCCCTTCCCGACATGAAAAGAAGAATAAAGCACACTAGCTTTTCTGTAAATAGGACCTTTGCAGTTTATTCCTCAACTTAGATGGAATTTAATTTTTAATCATATCTAAGTAAAATCACAACAGTTCTTGGACTAAACATAGTTCAGACCTAGAATATTCTTTCCTCCTAAACTTTCTGCAAAGGAAGAACAAGGTATGAGTCTTTTCCAGAGTTCCTTGGCTCTCTTCACTCAGCTTTACTTTTACTGCTGCTTTCTGACCCATAAAACTCATCTCTGCCAACACCCTGCTGGGGACTAATTATTGCAAAAGTTAAGATATTTTGTTTAGTTGAATATGATTGAAATAAACAGGAACATAGACGATGCATGAAGATGTATTTCCCCCAGGTGCCTACATGCATTCTTTAGAATATACATCTGTACTAGACAACCTCAGTTTACACATTGATAAGCTAGGATTACGGTTTATAAATTTAGTTTAGTGAGGAATCTACATGGTGGAGTTATGACTAAGACTCAGCCGTCTTCTTGCTGGGAATTAGTTCCTACTAAAATAGTCGCTGGTGGTCCTCATTAGTCAGAGAAGATGCTCAGAAAACTCACACAAGGTTATTTTCCTTCCATGCTAGTAAAATGGTACAAAGGCACGTTTATGAGACAAATGTTGAGCACTGTCCCTTAGTGCTCATGATTCAGTAGTAGGCCAAAGCGCACAGAAAGTCTTGTGTTCATCAACCTACCATTGGTGGAGAGTACTGAGAGAAGAACCAGTATCAAAGCAGATTTCTTTTTGCAGAAATATGTTGGTGAACCAAGTTCTAAGTCTTTTTTCATAAAATATGGGAAAATTGGGCTGGGAAAATGGCTCAGTGGATAAGCCCTTATTGGGTAAGCATAAGGACTAGAGTTCAGATCCCCAGAGACCATGTAAAAGCCAGGCAGGCCTGGCAGCTGCCTATAATCACAGGATTTAGGAGGCAGAGACAGAGGAGCCTCAAGGAAAGCTGGCTAGCTGGACCAGCCAGAATTGTCGAGTGCTGGGTTTGGTGAGAGGCCCTGCCTCAATAAATAAATAAAGTAGAGAGAGATAAAAGAGCACCAAGGTCAACCTCTGGCCCCCACATGCATGTGCATCTGCACACACATGCACCCACACTCATGTGAACATTCATATACACATGCATGCACAACACACACATAATATACACATATAAAAAAAGGAAAAAAATGGGATATTTATATTGACACTTGCTAAGTAAAATATTTCTTGACTTGGGAAACTTTAGGTGGAGAAGGGTTAATTTTTGTAGCTAAAACTTCATGAAAATATAGTGAGATTCAGGTGCTTAGTATCCCAACTATGTATTTCATCCGGAGCAAATACATTAGTGCTTATATCCAACCTCCTATGCCACAAACCAGCCTACAAATAAAGTGTCATCTTAACTCCAATTCATCTTGTAACCTGGTTCTATTTAGATGTAACTAGGTCTCTATTTTTGTAACTTAAAAATATAATCTCAGCTCTAATGCCTGTGATTAATCAAGTGCTATCAGTCTTCGGAGGTATCATATTATCATATTATTATCATATTTATTCCATGAAAATTCTCAACGTATTCCCACCTGGAAATAGCAATGAGCATAACAAAAAGAATAATAAAGTCAGCTCCTGACAGTCACCCAGAGTTTTCAAAGTGTTAGATCACTCTGTGATCTAGTTGGCTCATTATGCATGGGATTCTTGCCACACCTCCCAGACAGGGGAAGTTCAGTCAGCATGGGAGCCTAGGCACAACAAACTTGGAAATTTATGTTGCTTTAGGGCTCCATGCCAACTGAGGGCTCAGAACTAGTAGGATATGCCTCTGCTTATTTCTTGTTTTGTTGTTTTTTAAATCAAGATATAGAACAGAGGCATTACTTAGGATACAGTGTTAAAATAAAAGACTGTGAGTGAAGCCATGAGTCTCAACTTTGGTGCACTTCAAAATCTCCTAGTAGGCTTATTAAAACTCAGATCTTTGGACCCCCAGAATTTCCAGGGCAGCAGGTCTGTAATAGGGCCTGAGAATTTGGATTTTGAATGGTTTTAAGATGATGGTAGCCATTCTAGTTTGCTTCTCTGTTGCTGTGATCAAACACTGACCAAAACCAACTTGGGGAGAAAAGGGTTTATTTCAGTTTACAGTGCAGTCTTTCATTGAGGGACACTAGGGCAGGAGCTCAAGTAGGACCCTGAGGCAGAGCTCAAGGAGAGATCATGAAGGAATGCTGCTTCCTGACTTGCTCCCCTGGCTTGCTCAGCCACTTTTCTTATACAGCTCAGGCCCACCTGCCCAAGGATGGCGCCGCCCACAGTGGGCTGGGCCCACCAGAATCAATTATCAATCAAGAAAATGCCCCACGGTCAGGCCCATAGGCCAGTATGATGGAGGAAATTCCTCAAATGAAGTTTCTTCTTTCCAGGTGGCTCTAGTTTATGTCAAGTTACAAGTTGACACACAAATACATTATTATAAGCCATACCCCTTTCATTTCTTATCCCCAGAATCTCATGTTAATAACACAATATAAATATAGTCCAACTTTCAAAAGTTCCATGGTCTTTTAAAAATTAAATAACTTAAAAGTTCAAGTTCAGCCAGGCATAGTGGCACATGCCTTTAAGCCCAGCACTTGGGAGGCAGAGGCAGATGGATCTCTGTGAGTTCAAGGCCAGCCTGGTCTACATAGTGAGTTCCAAGCCAGCTGGGGCTACAGGGAGACCCTGTCTCAAAAAGACAAAAAAAAAAAAAAAAATTCAAGTTCTCTTTAAAAGTCCCAAATCTCTCAACTATGGGTTCCTATAAAACAAAAAATAACTTTCTTATCATTCTAAGAAAGAAGACCCAGGACACAATTATAATCAGATAAAAGCAAAACCAAAATTCAACATTGTGAAAAGCTCAGTGTCCTACTTCTGGGTCTCATGATCTTTTGGGCTGTGAAAGTTTTGGGCAGCTCCACTTCTCTGGCTCTGCATCCCCAGCACACGCTGTTTGTCTCGTAGGTTTAGACCAGCTCCACTCCACACCTGTGGCTGTCCTTGATGGTTGCCCCATTGTCCTGGAATCTCCAAAAATCTGAGGTCTGTAGTGCAACTGAAGCTGCACCTTCACCAATGGCCCCTCTTGGCATCTCAAGAGGGATTCTACTCCTGACAGATGGCACCACACCTCCACCTCTCTCCATGACCCCCTCAATCCTGGGATTCAATCCCACTGCAACTGAAGCTGCCCTTCACCAATGGCCTCCCCTGGCCTCTCACCATGCCAACCCTTAGCTGCTCTCCATGACCCCTTCATGCCTTCAGAGCCAGTACCATGTGGGAGACTCTTACACATTGCCACATTCTTTTGCAGCTTGACGTGCAGCCTTGGCCCCCTTGGGACTACAGCTTCTGTGTGCTGACCCTGAG